CGTGCTTCCCGGTGAACTATAAATCGGTGTTTCAGGTGACACAGGGCAGGATTTGAGCAGCCCCTAGGTGGGCTCCTTCATGCCTCTGCCCCTGCCAATATTCAAGTGACGAAAAGAGGAATCTATGTGCGCCATTTGCCTTCTTCTTCCAGGAGAAATCATTTGCATGGCGTTAAAAAGAAGTTATCGCGTGGTTTCTGCCTTCAATCTAGTCACCATGCACCACCATGGCTACTTCTGCAAAACCTGAAACTTTGCAGATACTGTCGTAGAGGCCACGCTCTATACAACAGAGAAACAGGTGACTGTGCTAAGAGTGTTGTCTCCTCAGAAACATTTAATTCATCGAACTTTCCCCAGAGGCATCTCACCACAATTACAAAGGAGCGGTAACACTGCAGTAACACAGTAAGTTCTGCAGGACACCCCCATCAAATTCATAAATGTTTATAAAATGTCACTTTACTCAGGATGCTAGGCCAGGTAGAGCCAAGAACAGGGTTTCCTTAGTCCTTTCTTCAATAGAACTTTTGATTCGGCTAGAATAATGACACCGACGGATTTTACCAATGGAGGAAACATTCAGGCACAGCACACAATCCACACTGAAGAGTTACGGGCATTGGTGTCAAAAATTCGCATCTCACACATCAGGTTCCAGCACCCTCCATGCAAGGATCATGACTCACATCCTGTTATCCAAGAGGGCACTTGAAAGGAATGCTCCCTGGGGGCCAAAGGCCACCCGCTGCTTGATGTCTAAGTCCACTGCTTTTTGCCTGCAGGTAGGCTGCACTGTGGTCAGCTTTGTCATGTTCTGTGGCCACATGAGAGCTCGGGGTGCAGGGAAAGCAGCTCACGGTGGGATTCTCCCCCATTCAGCACCCCTTTCTGTCCGTGTTCTCCTGAACGCTGCTGAGAAACAGCACAGGGACTTCTATTCCCGTACAATACCTGGGCTCGTGACCCCTCCCCCACCACCCAGCTTACCTCTAAGGCAGTGGTTCTCAACCTTCCTAATGCCGTGACCCTTTAATACAGTTCCTCATGTTGTGGTGACCCCCAACCATAAAATTATTTTCGTTGCTACTTCATAACTGTAATTTTGCTACTGTTATGAATCGTAATGTAAATATCTGATATGCAGGATGTATTTTCATGGTTACAAATTGAACATCATTAAAGCATAGTGATTAATCACAAAACAAAATGTAATTATATATGTGTTTTCCGATGGTCTTAGGCAACCCCTGTGAAAGGGTCGTTCGATCCCCAAAGGGGTCTCGACCCACAGGTTGAGAACCGCTGCTCTAAGGTTATAGATACTTTCAGGTGGGGGATTCAGTGATTCAGTTCTCTCTACTTTAGGCTCCAAAGCAAGTACCAATTTCATCAATTAAATTATCAAACAGTAGTTTATAAACTGGACCACAATCTGATGCAAGCGTCACAGATAATTTGGGTTGCTGTTTACATTACAGATGAACACAGATGAAAACTTCAGCTCAACTGTATATATTGTTCAGGGGACCCGTTTCCTAAACAAACTGACTATCCAAGCAATGAATGTCTTCAGTCAAATGCAAATTAATTTCCTCCCCTTATAAAACATTTTTTTTCTTTTGTAGTATTTATTTTTAAATCTATGGTCTTAGCAGGGAAAAATCTCATAAATCTGTATTTCTCCTGAGTACGCCTGTCTCTCTACCCTCCTGCTGTCGGCAAGCACAGGGAGACTCCCCTAAGTGTCCCGCTGGGGGGGAGCCCACTGGGCAGAACAAAGCAGCACAGCAGACCACACACTGGACCAGCAATGGGCCTGCAATCAGCCTGCTCGCCCCACTAATGCGGGGGCTCCTCACAGTCACTGTCAGACTGACGGATCCTGCCATTAAGGGTATAGCGCTGTGTCTGCCACAGAGTCGACATCTCACAAGTGGGGATCCCCACCTGTGACGTGGCTCATCATCTGTCATAATCACTTCCCTGCATTTTTTGGAACACGCAGGCCCAGGCATAGAGATACTGTGGGGCTGCCTGGGCACCTGCATTTCACGGTGATTCTACGGAGATGAAAGGGGGACCTCACCTACACTAAGTGACAAAGTGCTGAAGGCCAGGGGTGGGCGGCCTGAGTGCACCCAAGTCCTCAGACCCTTGGCGCCCCTCTCCTGGCCTCACAGAACCATCTCAGGAGGGCAGCTGCCCCTGTGGGCCCCAGGGAACTGGCAAGACCCACTGCCTTCCTGAGGAAGAGAAAGAAAACACCTCTGCCCTGGGGGAGGGGCAGGGAATGTCTCCTGCCAGTGATACCAGGTGGAGGCTGGCTGCCATGAGGAACTGGCCAAATCTCCCAAAAAGCCCCACTTCACCTGACACCTAGGGCAGAGGGTGAGCCAGGACAGGTGGGACATCCTCTCCCCGCCCCATGACCACTAGCAAGAAGCACCAAATAGCAAACAACTGGGGGGGCGTCTACTGGGAGGCTGGGGTGGGGTAGGGGCCATGGAGAGACAACGAGTCACCTGTAACTCCGTTTCTCCCGTGAATGATTTCTGCCGTATACTAACCACCAACGAGCCATCTTTGCTGAGAGAGCCCTGGCCCCTCAAACACAGCATGCCCACAAAAGAGCACACCCATCATCCCTCCCTCCCTGCTCTTGTTCCCGCTTGTCCAAACCAAAAATCTGTATTTCGTCCTAGACTCCCTGACTGTCCTCATCCCTCTCTATGCCGCCATCAAGTGTGATCCATTTTGCCTTCCTAATGCCTCATCAGCGTTTTGTTTCACGCATCCTCACTACTCCTGACTCAGTTACTTGCTCACTACCTGTCCACGCCCAGACTGAGTAACTACCAACAGCTGATCAGGCCATGGGCTCTGGGACCATCTCCTCATCAGAGATACTAGTTCTATCACTAGCCAGCTGTGTGCCTTACAGAGCGGCTGTAAACTCTCCTCGGGTGGGTTTCTCAAATGTACAATGGGGACAACAACTGAGCCTGCCTCAGAGGGTTTGGGGAAGACAGAATGAGATCAGGGGCAGCCCTGGCACACGCTGAAACTCAAGTGCAAATCTGCCACTTCTCTGATGGAAATCCTCCCGTTGACTCCTGAACTCCATCAACATACAATCTGAACCACGAGGTTTATAGGTCAATGTTCTCCATGAACCACACGCCTTCTACACAGACCCCCCTCCACCACCTGCCACAACCCTCCCCCCATCCTACTCCCAACAGCCCACACACTGACCTACGGCCACTCAGTGGTCAGCTCCGTGGACCATGCTCTTTCACCCTCTGCTCTGGTGCATAAAGCACGCTCTCTTCCTCTGCGGGACACTCTGCAACTCAGGCCCCCTAAAGGACACAGCCTTTCCGGAAAGCCCTCCTTCCCAAGTAGGTCTGCCTGCTCATCCTTACGGGACACACCCCACTTTGTAAAGACTTTATTTTTTAGAGCAGTTTAGTTTTGTAAGAAACCCCAAACCCTCTTCCAAAGTGGCTGTCCCATTTTGGATGAGAGTTCCTACTGCTTCACATCCTCATCAGCATTTGGTGATGTCAGTGTTCTGGATTTCAGCCTTTCTAGTGGGTGTGCAGTGGTAGTAACCCCACTTTTGAAGACATTCCCTTTGCTTTCAAGCACAGTGCTCATTATAGTGTAAGAGCAGTGGGTCCTCGCTTACCAGGGACTGCACCTCCCTCCCTGGCACTCATCCAGGCGCTCATTATAGTGTAAGAGCAGTGGGTCCTCGCTTGCCAGCTTCGGGACCAGGGACTGCACCTCCCTCCCTGGCACTCATCCAGGCCCAGCACCATGTCTCATCAGCAATTCTAAATGTTTTCAAAAATCCAAAATACTTGACTTTAAAATGCTGTTGACATTTACTTTGTTCATAAAATGCTAAAAAAAAAAATAATTTAAAAAAATCATCGGTAAAACAAATGCCCTCAACTATTTAATCTCAATGTATAAATTACAAACTTGCCAAATAGTCAAGTTTTTATGTCTTTTTTTTTAATTGGTAACATTTTCTTATATATATTCTGAATACTCAAATGTTTCATTTCTATAGCTTACAAGGACCCTTTAAGAAATGAGTTTTCTCTGGCCTGAGACGAGGAAAGGAGAACCTCTGAGCTGAGCTCTGGCTGACGTGTGGGTTCGTGAAGTCAGATGGTACATTTGCTGAGCCAACTCCTTGCCACTGGCGTGGCCTCATCCCAGGCCCCTCGCCTAGGCACGTGGCCGGCTGGGTAGCTGACTGTCCACATTTCTCAAATGCCCTGTGCACAGCTGCTGCTCCCATTTCAAACAAACCCTGGGATGTGCGACTCCCACCCAACATTAAAAATACCGTCAGCCAGCACTCTGTGTCACAGGCCACATGGGCTTAAGCTACAATGCAGCTGATTCTATAGCCATCACCATAAATTATATGTATTTATAGCCATGACTACTGAATAATAATTTTTAAACCATCATTACAGGTTCTACTTATTTGGGGGTTTTCCCAACTAAGTTAAAAGACTGTCACTTTGTTGCAGGAGACTAGTTTTACCACTGGAATAGCTCATGGAATAACTCATGATTCAGGGAACAGAACTGTTTGGATAACTACCAGCCCCTAGAGCACTCGGCCCAACATTTTCCCTGAGTACAAAACACACTCCATCTGTGCCCGTCAGGAGACACACACCCCAGAGGTCTTTCCTGGGCACACGGCCTGCAGGTGGGCACAGCCACAGAAGCCACACTCTGCCCAGGAGCACTGGCCATCACGTATCACATCCAAGGGCACTTGGTAGACACACCTCTGTCTGACCACTGAGTTCAGGATGGCCTCCATCTCTACAGGCAACGTAACCCGGCACTCACAGCAGAGACCTTCCTAGGAATCCTCACGCAGACACGCCCCGGGAGACTCTCCACATGGGAAGGACGCTGCGTGTGTGGCCCAGCAGTGAGGGCCACGTCAGAGCTGACGGGGGAAGGACAGCCATCGGGTGACAGCACCGGCAGTCTGCGGATCGGACGCTCACCAGGCTCCTGGAGAAGACCAAAAGGTCTCCCCTGGGGCAGCCAGCGCCTGTGCCCCGGCCCCAAGAGACAAGGAGGCTGGGGATCCTCCGTGACTTTCAGGGACAGCAAACAAAGGTCATGGCAGGTACCCAGCAGGAAGCCTCGGATACTCACATGCCACCTACTCTGAGATCTGGCGTGAACCCTGACCCACAGCCCCTGCAGGGGGAGGGCTCGCCACCCGTGCACCAAAGGCCCACTGGGAGGCCAGGCTGTGCAGCAGCTGACACTGGATTAAAGGGGCACCTTCAGGATCAGCAGTCAACTCCTCCCTGACAGACCACTGTGCTTTCATCAGAGCAGGGATGAGCGGCACCAAGAACATCGCTGAAAGTGATCATCTGCCCTCGAGTTTGCAGTGTGGCTCCTCCTTCCCGACAGCCCGGGTACTAAAGCTGTAAATACATCACCCCAATTGCGCCCCCTTAAATATACTGGCATGCAAAGCCTGAATGCAGATCCGGTAAAAACATTAAGAAGCAAAATTATGTATCAGCCTTTTTTCTTACGTTTTTTAAATTTTATTTTTTTCAATTACTGTTTGCATTTAATATTATTTTATATTAGTTTCAGGTGTGTAATATAGTGATTAGACAATCATATACTTTACAAAGTGGTCCCCTAATACTGCAAGTACCCACCTGGTCCCACACAAAGTTATTACAATATTATTGACTATACTCCCAATGCTGTCCTTTGCATCCCTGTGGCTATTTTGTGACTAACAATTTGTACTTCTTAATCCTTTCACCTTTTTCCCCCGACCCACCTCCCTTCTGGCAACCAGCAGTCTGATCTCTGTATCTATGAGTCTGTTCTATTTTGTTTGTTCATTTATTTTGCTGTTTAGAGTCCGCATATAAGTAAAATCACATGGTATGTGTCTTTCTCTGTCTGACTTATTTCACTTAGCATAATACCCTCTGGGTCCATCCATGCTGTCACAAATGGTAAGAGTTCATTCTTTTTTATATATGTATTCCACACACCTCTTCTTATCCAATCATCTATATCATACATCTTCGCCAACACTTGTTGTTTGTTGATTTATTGATGATAGCTATTTTAACAGGTATGAGGTAATATCTCATTGTGGTTTTTATTTGCATTTCTCTGATGATTAGTGATGTTGAACATCTGTTTCATTTATCTATTGGCCATCTATATGTCCTCTTTGGAGAAGTATCTATTCAGATCTTCTGGCCATTTTTTATTTTTTTTAAAATATGTTTTATTAATTTTTTTTTTTTTTTTACAGAGAGGAGGGGAGGATAGAGAGTTAGAAACATCGATCAGAGAAAAACATGGATCAGCTACCTCCTGCACACCCCCTACTGGGGATGTGCCCGCAACCAAGGTACATGCCCTTGACCGGAATCAAACCTGGGACCCTTCAGTCCGCAGGCCAACGCTCTATCCACTGAGCCAAACTGGTTAGGGCTCTGGTCATTTTTTAATTGGACTTTTTTTTGGTGTTGACTTGTATGAGTTCTCTACAAATTTTGGATAATAACCCCTTTCAGATATTTCATTGGCGAATATGTTCTCCCATTATGTTCTGTCTTTCTGTTTTGTTGATGGTTTCCTTTGTTGTGCAAAAATGTTTTACTCTGATGCAGTCCATTATATCAGCATTCTTTATCACCAGGGTCAAATGTGGCTAACAGTTATTTACAAAGGAATTGTAGGTCGACCTGGACTTTGGGCCAAATGTATTCTCCACAGTATATGTTTATAACACCAGACATTTTATTTGTGTTTTATTAAGTTTGTTTATCTTTTTTCTACTGTCTACTTTTTGGGAGCATTTCTTACTTTTAAACTATAATGATACTTCAACTACAAGCACGCATTTATAAAATTAGTTTGTAAGTGCATTTCATCATTAAATACTTCACAAGAAAGCAGTAAAAAGGCACTTAAAGAAAAGGCCCATTTTCTCCTCTACCAAACTTTTTTTTAAAACCACACAGAATGTCTCAATTTCCAAGAGCCTGTGTACAAAGGTCCTATTGGGTGGACCACAATATACAGAGAAAGAAGCACTGGGCCTACAGCAACCTTTCACTTTAAGAAAAGACCTTGTAGGTAAATTTGGGCCCCAGACTTAAAGATGAACTGAACCATTAAAAGAAAAACCACTAACCAGTTTCTCCAAAGCAAGACTGAAATCCCTTCAGTCTGAATGAATAACTGGAAGTGATGAGCAGAATATGAAAAGAAGGGAAAAAAGAATGTGAACATATGGAGGGGGAAAAATTACCTATTACATTTCACCCTGATGATGAGTCTCATATCATAGAAACAAATTTAGAGGTTTTACTATTTTTGACTGGCAGTGACCTCAACCCTGATATTTAAGCAAAAAGAGTAGAAAGTGTCAGTTATGTTCAAGTTTAGCAATAAAATACTGCGACTCTCAAAACAATTCCAGTTTGTTTGAATTTGGAAATGAATGTGTTTTATGTTGATTTGTATTCTCGGGCTTATCTAATAATTTGTTGACTGGTTATCTACTGGCTAATTCTTGTCATGTTGGCAAACTGTTCCAGTTTTTGTTTTTGTTTTTTTCCCACTTGAGACACACGTGAACATTCTTGTAATTGTAGGTAACTGCTCCTGGTGTTCAGTCCTGAGGAGCCGAGGCCAAGGAGATGAAGAATCAGGTTCGGGTAGATGGGCACACACAGGCCTGAGGGCCACCGGTGGATCCAATACCAGAGAGCAACCATCCTGACAAAAAATCCTCTATTAACAGTTTATGAAACGGGGCGCACGTGCACACACATCAGTGCACACCCCCGCACCCATGGCCGTGCGCACACCAGCCTGCACACATGCACATACACACACCCCAGGATACCCCTCACGCAGTGCACAGTCGCAAATGGGGAAAAGATGGGCAAGTAAATCAGTCCCATGCAGGGGTTGGCATCCGTCCCATGCAGGTCCCAGCTCCACGCTCCCACAGGCGAGCCAGGTCCACTTGGGCACATTATCTATGCTCCATTGGCCTCAATTTTCTTTGCGTAAAATGTGAATGATGATGAAACTGGCTTCACTGAAGCTCAGCACAAGCTGCTCGGCAAAGAGCACCTGTGACCTCACACACAGTAACAGGCTGACACGCTCCAGAAAGGAAGTCATTAGCCTAAAACAGGACTTAGGATCCTGCTCGGGAAGTGCAGGTCTCAGAACAAACAAAGGTGTTGTTTTAA